ATGAGCATCAGCATAATCAGCATCCGCATCAGCATCAGCATCATCATGATAGTCACCATCATCATCATCATCATCGTCATCATCATCAGCATCATCATCATCATCAGCAGCATCACCATCATCATCATCATCATCATCATCAGCATCCTCATCATCATGATGATCAGCATCATCATCATCATCATCATCATCATCAGCTGCATCATCAGCATCATCGTCATCATCAGCATCCTCATCATCAGCATCCTCATCATCATCATCGCCATCGTCATCGTCATCGTCATCATCATTAGCAGCAGCATCACCAGTATCGACATCACCACCATCATCGCCACCACGATCACCAGCAGCATCAGCAACATCATCAGCAGCATCCTCATCATCATCGTCTTCAGCATCACCATCACCATCATCAACATCATCATCATCAGCATCATCAACATCATCGTCATCCACAGTATCATCGTCCCCATCCTCCTTCTCGTCCTCATCCTCTTCCTCCCCCTCATGTCATCATCATCATTTCAGGTTCCTTCTCTTCCGTCTCCCCCTCATCATCCTCATCCTCCTCCTCCTCATTACATGTTCCACCGTGCGCCTCCTCCGTCTCCGCATCCAACTCCTTCTCCTCCTCGTCCTCTTTCTCAGCCTCCTTAGCCCCATGCGCTCTTCCTGTTGCCAGACCCTCCAGGCCGCGGCGGGCATCGGAAGATCCCAGCATGTGTACCAGGGCCCGTTCCCGTCCCGTTCCACCAACCCCACAGGTGCCGATTCAGTACCGCCAGCACCGTTTGCCCCATCGTTTGCCACCCCAGAAAGAGCGCGCAAGACCGCAGGGAGAGGCCGCGACAGACCGCGCCAGCCATCGCACAACCCTGTCATGAATCGGGGATCGTCCCTTCCCACCCCGCCAAGTCCAGTACCGCCACGAAAAAACCTGTTTTTTGTGGTGACTCCAGGTTCCCCATAATTCCGAAGTATGGGAAACCCATCGCTGGACGACTGCCGCACCGCTTGCCCCAACGCATATCCCTCCAGGCAGAGCGCGCGCCAGGCCGCAGGGGCGGCCGCGAGGGAGGCCGCCACAGGCCGCGGCAGGCAGCGTGGAATCCTGTGCGGCATATCAGGGACATCGCGTCCTCCCACTCCACCTCCTCCTCTTCCTCCTCCTCCTCCTCCTTCTCCTCCTCCTCCTCTTCTGTTTCTTCTTCCTCCTCCTCCTCCTCCTTCTTTTCCTCCTACTCCTTCTCCTCCTCCTCCTCCATCCTCCTCCTCCTCCTTCTCCTCCTCCTCCGCTTCCTCCTCCTCCTCCTCCATCCTTCTCCTCCTCCTCCGCATCCTCCTCCTCCTCCTACTCCTTCTACTCCTCATCCCTTCCTCCGACTCCTCCTCCTCCTCTCCGTCCTGCTCCTTCCTCCATCTACTCCCCTCCTCCTGCTACCCTCCTCCATCCTCCTTCCTCCTCCTCACCTTCTCCACTCCTCCTCCTCATCATCATCATCATCATCATCATCATCATTTCAACTACTCCTTCTATCTCCTCCACCTCACATCCTCCTCCTCATCCTGCTTCTCCTCCTCCACCTCCTTCTCCTCATCCTCCACTGCTCCTCCTCCTACTCTTTCTCCTCATCCATCAACCCTCCTCCTCCTCCCTCCTCCTCATCCTCACTGCTCCTGCTCCTCCTCCTCCTCATCATCATCACCATCATCATCATCATCATCACATCCATCATCATCATCATCCATCCATCATCACTTAATCATTCAACAATCCGTCTACCCCTCCTCCTCCTCCTCCTCCTCCTCATCCACCTTCTACTACCTCATCCTCCTCCTTCTCCTCCTTCTCCTCCCTCTCCTCCGCCTCCACATCTCCTCGTCATCCTCTCCTCCATCTACTTCTTCATCCTCCTCATCATCATCACCCTCCTCTCCTTCCTCATTCCTCCTCCACCTCTCATCATCATCATCAACATCAGCAACCATCACCATCAACCATCACCATCCCCATCACATCATCTCATCATCCATCATCATCATCAGCATCATCAACATCATCATCATCAATCACATCATCATCATCATCATCATCACCATCACCTCCTCCTCCTTCTCCTCCTCCTCCTCTCCTCCCCTCTTGTCTTCTCCTCTCCTCTTCCTTCTCCTCCTCCTCCTCCTTCTACTCCTCCTCCTCCTCCTCCTCCTCATCCTCCTCCTCCGCCATCCCCACTTGTACCGGTTCAGCCCCACCAGTGCCGGTTCAGCCCCACGCCTTGCCCCTCCAGGGAGGGCGCGCCAGACCCCGGCGGCCTTCGGAGATCCATGTCGTCTGGTAGGGATCCCTTTCACACTCCGCCAGCACAACCGATGCCGCTTCAGTCCCATCCGTACTGGCTGCCCGATCGTTTCCTCCTCCAGGGAGGGCGCGCGAGACCGCAGGGAGGCCGCGACAGACAACAATCTGATTGTGCATTCGAGAACCGACTTGGCCCGCCTGGCATCTAATGGTCGGCTCCGAGTCTTCAGCGCCCGACTACGTCCTCTTTTCCAAGCAAGCAAATTAAAACCACCGCCATGAGTCACCGTCGCCATCCAAATCACCCCACCTTCACCATTACTTGTCTGTGTCATCCGCCTCGTATGATTCCCCTTGGCGTGCCCCGTCTTCTGAGATCGTTTTTGCTAAGGACGACGACAGAGATAGAGAGAGAGAGAGAGAGAGAAAACATTGGACTGATGAGCGAAGACATTTGAGTCGGGAACGGAAACAAAAACAAGGATCAAGTACATGCGTTCACTTCATCCTTATCGCAGTGCCGTGTCCTCCCCCTCGCGCCCCTAAGTGTTCGCCCCAATAGCGACGCGCGACCCACTTGAAACCCCTTCCTCGAGAGAGTCCAGCAAAACTGCATTGAGAAGAAAAGGGAAGCGGGGGACGACCAGAGCCCCCTTCGATTCGCAGCATCGAAGATCGATGAGTAGGTGGGCCCCGAAAGGGCAACGTTGTCGAAGAAGACCTAGGACATCAAGGAGGCGGAAAGGAACCTGGAGCGGGAGGGGGGCAGGTCCACACGGCAGTATCAGGGGAGAGAGGAGAGGGGCACTCAGACAGTGGAATGGCCGAGAGCAGAAAGAAGAGGGGACGCCAAGAGAAGAAGGAAAGGCAGATGGCCAAATGGGCCCCGTCCCGAAGAAACTGCTCGACGTGCCGAAGGCTCAAAATGCCCACGCCGAATGCTGTTACGAACGCGAGCAAGAGTGCAAGTAGAGAGAGGCCACAGAAGAGATCCACCCCTAAGAAACGAAAACCGTGCAGGATCACACGCGAATGAAGAAGTCGAGCGCCCATTCTGTCACTTCGCTGGGGGTGATGGCCATGCAAAATGCGGACTGCAGATGGCCACGCCACGGATCGGAGCCGGGCCTGCTCGCACATTCCCTCCGCAGCTCCCCCTGAGGCTTCAGACCAATTCCCAGCACAGGGCCGCTCGGGCAAGTACCAGCCTTCTCGCCACCGACGGAGTCGCAGCTGGAGTCCCTGCTCTAGCCGCTGGCTTGGGCTCGCTCTCCTCCTCCTCCTCCTCCTCCTCCTCCTCCTCCTCCTCCTCCTCCTCCTCCTCCTCCCCCTCCTCCTCCTCCTCCTCCTCCTCCTCCTCCTCCCTCCTTCTCCTCCTTCTCCTCCTCCTCCCGCGGGTCTTGCTCCGACTGGCGCGCGGCAGGGCTCAGCTCTTCATCCGGGCCCTCCGCGCACTGGTGGGCGGCCGCTCGGCGAGCGGGCCCGTCAGGACAGCCCAGCAGGAGCTCTGACTGGCAGAAGTTCCGCCTGCGCACCCAGGGCGTGGTGCAAGAGCTGATCGATCGGCGCTGCATCGCCGAATCCAGGTCAATGTTCCCCTCCCCCCCTTGGCGGGTCCAAACTGTCGGTTTTCCCTCGGCTCTTGAGGGTCGAGCAGCATCCCTGCCAGGATCGAGGCTCGAGGATCTGGGCTCGAAGGTCCGTGACGAGACGCTCTCGGTCAAAACCTGGACGGCGCGCTGGGCCGGCCCTGCGCGTGCTGCAGGAGGCCGAGGCTGGGCCGGCTCCCTGAGAGCTTCAGGAGCATGGCTGGGGCAAGGCATGGCTCGGGGCGACCGCAGGGTTGGCCAGGAGCCACGTCGAGCGGTCGGAGATGAAGGGGCCCTGGGACACACAAATAAATACACACAAATAAAAATATTCCCCATATTTTCTCATGTTTTCTGGGTTTTTGTCTTCCCCCCCACTTCCCATATTTTCCCATATTTTCTGGGGAGTCGACGATTCATTGTGTCTGTGTGTTTCTTCCCCTCCTGAGGAGAGGGGAACGCCGGCGTCGAGCCGCACAGACGCCACCAGGTGGTTCGACGACGCATCTCTGCTCGAGCGCACTCTTCACTTCGCGGCCAGGACGGGCGTTATGGGGGGGTGAGGGGGGGGGCGGGAGAGGGCACAACGTAGCGCCCGCCCCCCCAGACTGTGGTGCCGGACGCACTGCGGCAGTGCCGGGGACGAACTGAGGGGGGGGGGGGGGGGGAGGGGGGGGGGGGGGGGGGGGGGGGGTTGGGCGGGGGGGGGGGGGGTGGAGGGGTGGGGGGGGGGGGGGGTGGGGAGGGGTGGGGGGTGGGGGGGGGGGGGGGTGGGGGGAGGAGGGGGGGGGGGGGGGGGGGGGGGGTGGGGGGGGGGGGGGGGGGGGGGAGGGGGGGGGGCGGGGGGGAGGGGGTGGTGGAGGGGGGGGGGCGGGGGGGGGGAGGGGGGGGGGGGGGGGGGGGGGGGGGGGGGGGGGGGGGGGAGGGGGGGGGGGGATGGGAGGGGGGGGGGGGGGGAACGTTACGTTATGGGGGGGTGAAGGCGGGTTGCGAATGCCCGCGGCATGACGCGAGTTGTGGCCCAGAGGGCAAGCAGACGCTCTTCTCCTTTTTTTCCCCCGCAGCACAGGAGGACGGAGGCACCAACCACTGATGGCCACCACCACCACACGCCCGAGCCCCGTGAAAATCCACGCGCGCACACCTCTGCTCCCTCTGGCGCTCCGTCGTGCCCCCTCCCGCCTCCGCAGAGCGCGGCCGGCGCGGAGGACGGCGGGCAGGAGCAGCGCCGCACCCCTGCCACCTTTTTCCCTATTTCCCTCCCCCCCATCCCCCCCCTCCTCCTCTCCCCCCTCCGCCCCTCCCTCTCCCTCCCTCGACGCCTCCTCGGCTCCCTTCCCGCTCCTCTCTCGCTCTCTTCTTCTCTCTCTCTCTCTCTCTTTCTCTCTCTCTCTCTCTCTCTCTCTTTCTGTCTCTCTCTCTGTCGCTCTCTCTCCTTCTCTCTCTATCTCTCTTTCTCTCTCTCTCCCAGGCCGTCCTCCTCCCCCTCAGGCTGGCCGAGCTGACCGGGTGCTCCCCCCGCCGGTGCCACCGGGGGAGGGGGTGCCGCGCCCGCGGTCCTCCATCGTGGCCCGGAACCCCTGCGCCGAGTGCACCGCGGCGTTGAAGCGCATCACCGAGAACTCGAGCTCGCCGATGCGGAAGAAGTCGTGCGGCTGCAGCCAGTGGCTCTGCCTCGGGCCAGCGGCCAGCGGCGCAGGGAAGGGCCGAGGGGAGCAGGCCCACGGGCCTCACGAGGCCTCTCGGTCCCGCGGCGGAGCTGGCCTTCAGCAGGGCCCGACCGCCCCGGCATTCCTGCTGGCCAACCGCGAATTTATCTAAGAGCGAGAGGACGCCCTGAGGACGAAAACCATGTTTTAGAGCATGAAGCCGATTGACTCAAGCAAGGCTGTCCCAGCCAGAAGTGTTCTGAGAACCCCTCGTGCAAACCACCAAAAGGCCTTAGAACCCTCCCTGGTGAGCCTTCAGGCATGTCAGGGCGCTTCGCCACTGCTTGGTGGCCAGCACGAAGACACAGCAAGAAACAGACGAGGACGCCGTGAGAGGAGCAGGAGGAGGCCGAGGATGAGGTAATCGCGGGATCGATCGGGCGGCCTGCCCTGGGTGACAGCATGTGCTCTCCGCCCGCCCCGCAATGATCGGCCGACTCCCGATGGAGAGGCCGGCCAGAAGAGCAGCTCCCTCCTTCTGCCCCTAATCCAGCTCCTGCCCCATTCCTCTCGTCCAGTGCCCCCTTCCAGTCCCAGGCTTCAGGGTGCAGACCGTTGGTGCTCCTCCCTCGAGGCTTCAAGGGCCTCAAACTAGTTCTCGCCAGGTAAAGAGAACCGATCGTGGAGGGAGAAGAAGGAAACGACACCACGACGAGACGGCGAAGCCACACCTTCCCCCACTCCCCCACCCCATCCTCCCCAGCAGGCCTCTTCCCATCCGCATCGTCAGGTGTGCCAGCACGTCAGCGCCAACTTCGATGCAGGACCAGCTCCGACCCACAGACCAGGGCAGTGGAGGCCGATCGGTCGTGGTGGGCACGACTGGGGGCCCCGCTGCTTCTGGAGCCTCACCCACCCCTTCTGGGTCGACTCGGCGGACCGCTCGCCCAGGTGGACGTAGTAGCGGCCGTAGGAGTAGCCCACCCGCAGCCATTCGCACTTCTCCCAGCCCTGAACCGCGACGCAACCGACTGTGACGTCCTTGCGCGGCCGCGCCACGTTGCTCTCCGGCTCGTCGTCGAACTCCTCCTCGGCAACGCCGTTCGGAGCCAGGGCGATCGTGCCGCCCTGCCAAGCCATGGACGCAATCTCCTTCGGCTCGTCCGACGATCCCTCCTGAGGCGGCGGGACAAGGGGGCAACGAGCTAGTATGTGCTACAGCCAGCTGCGAAAGTAACCGAACGCATGTTGCGGGGGCAGGAGGAGGAGGAGGAGGAGGAGGAGGAGGAGGAGGAGAAGGAGGAGGAGGAGGAGGAGGAGGGGAAGGAGGAGGAGGAGGGGGAGGAGGGGGAGGAGGAGGAGGAGGACTTGCGCTCTCTCGCTCTCTCTCTCTCTCTCTCTCTATCTCTCTCTCTCCCTCTCTCTCTGCGAGAGGGGAAGGGGCAGGCCTGCCACAGAGGAGAGGACAGACCACGGGCCCGGCCGAGGCGGGCTGCTCGCCGCGCGGCCCCGCGGCCCAGGCGGTGCTCTGCACGCCCACCCCCCAGCTGACACGCCCGAGGTGGCCCTCGCGGCGCCTGCGGTGCAGCTGGGCTCGGCAGGAAGGGCCACGGCTGCGATGCCATGACGCAAGGGGCGGGGCCCCGATCCCGCCTGCGCGGGCCGGGCTGCGGCCCCGCCGCGCAGGCGCCGCTCGCGCAGGCGCCGCTCGCGCGTGCGGGTGCGCGATGGTCCCAGGCTGTGCTATAAGGGGGAGCCAGCCGTGGCATATGAGCACAAACTTTCGGAGATCCGCGGGGCTCTCTCGGATCGGCCGGCGCTGGGCCCCGCCTGGCGGCGCCCATGGCGCCGCCCCGGGCGCGTTCCGCGCGGCAGGAACGGGGGTCCAGGGCCGATCCGCGAAAGCCGCGCGAACCTCTGCAGGTTCATGTGCATGTCATTGTCCGTTCCTCGCAATGCAGCTTCACCTGTGAGACGGTGGGACGCCAGGGAGTACCGGGCTGGCCACGGAGACCGAAGCAGAGACGGTCACGGGAGCTGAGCACGGTGGCTGGAACGGGAGGCGGAGACCGTGCAAGCGCAGGCTGGCAGGGGCACCGAACCGTCCAGGGCACCCCGTGCGAGACGAACCAGGACGCGGACAAATCCGGATCGGTTGGGATGAGGCGGGAATCTCTGAGAACCCGACGGGTCTGGAGGATTCTTCGGGCGCCGCGGTCACTTCAGGGAGCTCCGAAACGCGCTGAAGGCGTTCTGGAGCGCTCGGGAGCGACCTAGCCTCATCCTGCGCGTGCCTGGCCAAAGGAGAGTGAAAGAAGAAGGGGGGAGGATGCGTTCCCCCCGACAGCCCACGGGAGCCCAGGAAGAAGAAGGAGGGGAACGCAGGGGCGCCTGACGATTGGTTGTGACAGCCCCCCCTTCTGGTTGGTTGCTGCTGTCCCCGAAAGAATGTACGTCCGCGAGCTTCGACCTGCACAGCCGCGGAGCCAGCGCAGCCCTGGGACACGCGGCAGTCGCCAGGCCAACCCGCACGCGCGAAAAACAACTTGCTCGACGGGGGAGCTGGCAAGGGGGAGAGGGAGGAGGGAGAGACGGACATGGACAGAAGGAGAAAGAGAGAGAGAGAGAGAGGGGAGGCGGAAAGGAAGAGAAAGGGGGAGCTGGGGAGGGGAAGGAGGGAAGAAGGGGAGAGGGGGCGGATCTGGCGAGGCTTCGCCACGTTGCCGCCCGTGGCCGCCTCGTGGCCGCCTCGTGCGCTGGGCGGGTCGGGCGAGGCTTCGGCACGTTGCCGCCCGTGGCCGCCTGGAGGCCGCCTCGTGCGCCGGGTGGGTCCTGCGAGAGTTCGCCACGTTGTCGCCCCGTGGCCGCCTGGAGGCCGCCTCGTGCGCCGGGTGGGTCCTGCGAGAGTTCGCCACGTTGTCGCCTCGTGGCCGCCTCGTGGCCGCCTCGTGACCCGCGGGGGTCCTGCGAGGTTTCGCCACGTTGCCGCCACTGGCCGCCTCGTGGGCGCCTCGTGCGCCAGGTGGGTCCTGCGAGGTGAGGTGTCGTCACTTTGCCGCCCGTGGCCACCTATTCCCGCCGCTAGCTTCCACCACGCATGCTACACGACATAGCGTACACCACACAGCTTGCACCACACAGCTTCCACATCGGCAGCGCCAAAACGTACTGCTTGGAGCCCACGCTGGCAAACATACATGTGTATAACTGCACATAAACATGGATGCAGACATACAGGCACGCATACGTACACGAATGCATGCATGCGTACATAAATAAAAACATACATACGTACCTATACACATACGTATATACGTACATACATGTATGCAGACATACATGCATATAACCATGCATACATATATACTTTGTGGCGCCGATGCCTGCATCTATACGTATCTGCATACATACATGCATACATGCATGCATGTATACATTCATACGTGCATGCATATATGCATACAGTCGTACGTGCATGCATGCATACATGTCTGCATATGTAAAGATTACTGCATACATATACATATACCTACATTCATACATACATACATATATACATATATATGTATCTATATATGTGTACGCATGCATGCATACGTCCATGCACACACGCAAGCACTCGTACATGCACACATACATACACATAATCATACATGCATGCATGCATGCACGCATGCATGCATATCTAAATATAAACACGCATGTATCGATGTATGCATGCACACACATGTCCATATAGGTATACGATGCACGGTCAGATACATGTACATGGAAAATCAAGCAGTCAGGGCTTTTGAACATACGAGAGAACAGAGCGAGAGAGAAAAAAACATACACATACATCACATATAAGACACATAAGAGCGAGGAGCGAGAAAGACAGAGAGATAGAGAGAGAGAGAGAAAAATAACATAAGAAATAAAGAAAGAGGGAATTGCGAAAGCGAGATAACAGAGGTAGATTTGCTGAGAGGTGGAGAGGTAGAGAGACACAGAGGCACAGAGGTAGAGAGAGAGAGCGAGAGAGAGAGACAGTGATAAATATTAATTCAGTTTGGATGTAGATGTAGAGAGAGGGGGAACAGAAAAAGGGAGGGAGGGCGAGAGGGAGAGGGAGGGGGTAAGGGAAGAGGACGGGGGGACAGGCGTAGGGAAGGGGACAGGAAAGGGAGACAGGAAGACGGGAGAGGGGAGCAAGGGGAAGGGGAGGGGTGACTCTTTATGAAAAGTGGGTTGTGTGAGCAAAATGCCTGAGGCATCCTGGTCCTCTGGAAGCCTCCCCCGCTCCGTGCGCAGTAGGACATCCCACCCGAACTGCCGCATAAGCGCGGCACATGCACGCACATGCCGGCGCACATGCGCGCACATGCCAGCGCAGAAGCCGCCGCTCATACACCAACCCAGGGGCAAAGAAGTGAGCGCGGTGCACTCTTCGTCTTCCGCATCACTGAACCCTAAGCCATGCCTGTGCCTCCTGCCTCTCCACCTCCTCATGCTCCTCGTAGTCCTGCTCCTCTCCTGGAATCAACGGAACACCTCCTCCCCCTCCTCCTGCTCCTCCTCCTCGCCCTCCCGTTCCTCCTCCTCCTCCTCCTCCTCCACCGCCTCCTCCTCCTCCTCCTGCTCCTCCTTCTCATCCTCCCCGTCGTCCGCCTCCTCCTCCTCCGCCTTTTTCTCCTACTCCTCCACCTGTTCCTCCTCCTCTACATCCTCCTCCTCAGCTCCTCTCCCCTCCTCTCTCGCCGAGGGCAGTCCTCTGGCAGGACGCAGAACGACAACGAGTGGCGCGGGTAGCCAGCGCTGGGCCACATCTTGCCGAGCTCGTCTAGCGCGGACTTCAGGTCGGTCCGCTCCTGCTCAGCGGAGGAGGAGGAGGAGGAGGAAGAGGAGGACCAGAGTTGCCCCACGATGCATCAGCGATGCTGCAATACGCCCTCCCGTTCCATGTCCGCCCGCAAAAGTCCCGATCAGCCATCCTATCCAATACACGAAGAGCGCATTTGAAAGAGCAGCGCCATATGGGCCTGACATTCAGGCGAGATCCCCGTGCTGAAATGGAATCGCGCTGCATCCGTCCATCGCGTGATCAGAAATGCGAGCAGCGATGGCCACACAACTTCACGAGGCGCCCCGCGAGGTAACCACTTTGAAACAGGACGGCCCCCCATCCGCGCGACTGCACCAAGAGCCAGACACGCCAGGTCATGAGGCGACAGAGGGTCTCAAGCGAGAGCCCCGCCCTGAAGTCTGCGTCCGAAGCTGCCCTGCCCCCGTGCACCTGGTGCAGATGCTGAAGTGCTTGCGGCCTCGAACTTCAAGGGAGGCTTCGAGCAAGAACCACATACTGCAACGCCACCGCCCTGCACCGCTGCACAGGCTGCAGGCACGTGAGGCGAGCGTGCGCTGCGCTCGAGCGAGAGCCTCGCTCGGGAGAGAGGGCCCGCATCCCCTCCCGACTCGACTGCAGCGGCTTGAGACGAAGCTGCACGGCGCTCGAGCGTGACCCACGTGTTGACAAAGCCATGTGCTCCATACTGGTAGGTGCTGCCGCCTTGCGAGACGAATATGCGCAGCGCTACGGCGAGAGCCCTCATTTTGACGGCATGCGCTCAAAGGTTCTAACTTCTGAAAACGTTTATGGCGATTGTCCGCAGCTCCAAGACGAGAGCCCAAAATTACAGAACGTGTGATGCATCTTGTAACTGCTGCAAACGATTCAGACACGAATGTGCGCGGCAATCGTGCGAGGACGCCATTTTGAAAACGGCACCCCTCCATCCGTGCACCTGTTGAAAATTTCAAGCTCCAGGATCATACGCGGTGAGGAAGTCTTAAGCGAAACGCCAGGCCCGCCGCCCTAAGGACACGTCTGGGAATGCGACAGGAGGGAGTAACGGCAAAAAGATTGAGGTTTGGAGGGAAGAACACGGAGTGAGGCGGGAGGGAGGATGGAGGGAGAAAGGGCGGAAGAAAGGGGATGAGGGGAGGGAGGAGGGCGTCGAGGGGATGGATACCAGGTCCCATCTCTGTGCCCCTGGCCTCGACCCGCTGACACTCCGCAAGAGGTCCAGACCCTCGTCTGAGGAGCAGAACCGCTGCCGCGCTGAGCCGCAGAGGCTCGGCGTCCACATCCCCAGAAGCAGCGCCCAGGACGCAGAGCCCCGCCCGTCGGGCAGCTCTGGGCAGCGCGCTTCTGATGAGCGACCGCGGCACGTACACGTCGTTCGTTCCGAATCGTGCTTATTTCTGAGTGCGCTCGTTTCTAATTATTCCCGGCCCCCCTAGTGGCCAGAAAGAGGCCCAGGATAGAACAATTAGAAATGAAAGGATCTTGGGCCCCCCCAGAAAATCCAAGAACTCTCGAAGAATCAGAACTGAACAGTGTGTGACTATGCAGGGCTGGTGACTGTCGTGTCTGCGCGGAATTCCAGGCCCGACGACGCGCACGCCGCTGCGGCCGGGAGCTGCTGGGCAGCACGTCGGCATGGCGGCCCGGGCGGCACGCCGTCCCCCTGCACGCGGACCTCGCGCGTCGCTCCGCTCTGCGCGGCGGGAGGCTCGGGCACGCCCGGGCGCGCTGGCGCCTCGGGACCGCGAGGTGGCTAGGGTGATGGGCCTGTTTTCCACCACCACCACCACCACCGTAAGTTGCAGGGGGAGGGAGTCCTCCCCTCCTCCACCTCCTCCTCCTCCTCCTCCTCCTCCTCCTCCTCCTCCTCCTCCTCCCCCTTCCCCCCTCCAACTTATGGTGGTGGTGGTGGAAAACAGGCCCTTCATAACGTGTCGCTCCAAAGCGTGGTGGGCCAGAACCCGCGGAGCAGCGTCACGCTGCCCAAAAACTCCCGACCGTAAACCTTCGCGATCTCCGCTGTCTGACAGCGACTGCCGCTCAAGATCGGCCTGGTTCAGGCCGCTGGTGGCACTCAGCCTTGAACGCCCGCGACCGCGTCGCCGTCACGTCGCTGCGGCACGAACATGGTGTACGGCAGATTCGCGTCGTGACGACCTCGGCGTTGCTTCCTGACACCGCGGGGATCGTTCAACCTTGAACGATCGGCCGTTTCCGAAACGTCAGATCGCTCAACATCGACCGATTCTGGGTCGCTGGCGGCGCGTCGCCGCCGGACGACGCGACGCGAACCTACCGCAGTGTGTAGGCCAGGGCCTGCCAATTTCAAGCTGATCGGCCACCATCCCCGAAATCTTTACTTACTGGGGCTTCACGTGAGCACTCTTGGTGCCCATACAGGCATAGGGTACAACCGAGCCCCTCTGTCCATCAAGATCGCAGCGCCTGGGAATGGAGCCCGCGAGAACGAGACCAGCGATCGAATAAAATCACGCAAAGCACGACCACGCAATCTTCATGCACAGTTGGGTGGCGACATCCGAATCCTGACCCCCCCCCAACCACTTGATTCTCCTAAATCGATGGGAGGCGGGTAAAGGGTTCGGATCTCGCCACGTGCTCGACGAACTCCGAGCGAGCCCTGTCCAGGCGCCGCCCATCGAGCTGCTTGCACGGTGGATCGGCGAGGGCAGTCTCCGAACTTCGCCGCCGAGCAGCGCAGGCGGCGATCCTGCTCGGACATCTCGCCGGCCAGCTCCATAACCGAGCCGAGCCTAGTCGCGACGTCGACCAGACTGTGCAGGCCGCTCTCGTTCAGCCGCGCCGCCAGCTGCTGCAAGTTGTACGTCGCGAGCCACTGCTGCACCTCCTCCTCCGGCGGCACGGCACGGGAGAGATGCGGAGGCCTCCCCCTCATCCTTCACATCCGCTTTCTCTTCCTCTTCCTCCTCCTCCTCCTCCTCCTCCTCCTCCTCCTCCTCCTCCTCCTCCTCCTCCTCCTCCTCGGGGGGTAGGCCACGGGGGGACTGTGCCCCCCCCCTCATCCTTCCTCCTGGCTTCTCTTCTCCTCCCCCTCTCACCTCTCCTCTCCTCCCCCCGGGGTTCACAGTTCCACTGCGGCCCACTCCCCCGCTGGGGCTGGGGCTGGAGGCCCCCGCGGCGGCGGCCAGTGCTCCGAGGAGCGCGGAGAGCCAACGCCGCCGCCGCGGGGGGAGCGCGGAGCGCAGTGGTTGATGTTTCAGCTGCGCGTCATTTTGCAGGAGGCCCCCCCCAGAACTCAGGCGAGGGGGGTCTCGATTTTCGTCGGCTCCGCACTCGTGCTTGTTGCAGAGCGGATCAGGCTAACATCCAGGCAACATCCTCCTCCTCCTCCTCCTCCTCCTCCTCCTCTCCTCCTCCTCCTCCTCCTCCTCCTCCTCTGGTGGCGCCCATGCCTGTATTCGCGCATGGCTGCGAGCGGGACCGCACTGTCCAAAGCATGTGCCGCAGGGTGGTGAACAGAGCCGGGGGAGGGGAACGCCAAGCTGCACGCACACACACACACACACACCGATCCTGGCAAGGCCAATCCTGGGCCCAGGACCGGTGCATCCGGCATTCCCTTCTGGGCCGGGAGGGCATACCCGGCCGCACCTGCCGGGGCCAGACGGGTTCAGGCAGGCACCGTGCGTGCCCCAAAAGAAGCAGCGGCTGGGCCCGGCGCGGCAGCGGAGACCGAGAAGGCCTGCCCCGCCGGCGGAGGGGCTCGCCGGGGGCTGCCTGGAAGAAGGCGTGGCCCTGCAGACGTGGCATCCGAGAGCCTGCCGAGGCCGCGGTTTCGTGCGAAGGCATATGTATATGTATATATACACACATACATACACATATACATCTTTATATATATACACATATGTGTAGATATGTATGTATAGATGCTAAGCCCTTCCAAAAGGACCTTATAACCCTCGGCACACTTTGTAGTCGCTTTCACAGGTGTCTGAGCCAGCTTCCCGAAGCCTCCCTGCGGCAGGTTCGTGTTGTGACGGCCCCGGCGCTGGTTTTCTGACACCGCGGGTAACCTGTTCAACCTTGACCGATCGGTCGTTGACAAAACGTCAGATCGTTCAACATCGGCCGATTCTGGGTCGCCGGCAGCGTTCAACGTGGAACGCCGGCGGCAAGGTCGCCGCCAATCGGCACGACGCGAACCTACCGCACCGAACCCTCCCTAGCCTTCCGCTCCTCTCCCATTTCTTGGGGTCTGAGCGGGTTTGCGCTGGTGTTGATCCGGCTGCGCGTGGCTGGGTCCCATGCCCGCGTGGCGAGCTGGCCGAGAGACAGAGCTCACGCAACACAACAAGGAAATGAATTGGAAAAGACACCTGGCACGAAACTAAGGGGCGCGAAGGCACGGGAATAACAGACTGAGCGCTCAGCACAGCAAGAACAAACACGCTAGCTCAAATCAGAGCAGGCGAAACAAAACCAATACCGCTTCAGCACACAAGCTATAAACAACAACAAAAAGGCTAACAGCTGAAAAATACTGATGCGGACAGCGAGGTGAAGCGGAACAAAACAAAAGCAACATTGCTGAGAAAAGCACAACGCATAAAAGCGGACCAACGCAAGGCGCTGCTAAGCAAAGCAAGGCAACGCGCAGCATAGGGTCGTACTTGAACGCACCCCATCAGCAGCAATAGCAATAGTGACGGCAGCAACAAGCGCAAAATAATGCGCCACTTCCCGACGCCAAAGGTCATTGCACTCTCAATGTACAGTATACATGTTGTAACCTGTTTGCGTGTGTGCGTGGTGCGATATCTGTGGTGTAACCGATGCGGTGTGAAAAATGCAACACGATATTTACGGCGCCATACTTTTCGGGCGCAAGTAGCGATGAGGAACTTGAAGCCGTCAAATTCACTGCAAGTCCCACCTTCCCACCCGCAACTTATTTGGCAATACCCATTCCGCCACGATTGCGGCCACTGACTGACAGTTGCTGGCGCATCTCTACGGCCGCGCTCGCGCGCGCACGGTCGCGCGCAGAGCTACCAGCTGGTTTGACACAACTGGTGCGGCCCGCTGGGGGGGTCTGGCGAAATTTCGCTTCGTTGCCGTCCGTTGCCGCTTCGGTGCCGCCTCGTTGCCGCCTCGTGCGCTGGGTGGGTCTGGCGAGGCTTCGCCACGTTGCCGCCCGTTGCCGCATCGGTGCCGCCTCTATCATGCACCACGTATACTGCACCACATGACTCACATTTGCACCGCATAGCCTGCACCACACACACACACACACACACATCCAGTGCAATGACTTACTGTTCGGGGTCCACGCTGGCTAGCACGCTTGGAACGCTCTATCTTGAAATGCGTCGAAACCACCGGTTTTGGAAGGATTTCGACACGCGCGCGTGGCGGCACGCGCATGTGGCCCGCATAGCATTATGTGATTGCACCGCGTGGTGGGATGAGCGTGCGGGTTCTGGGCGAGATTGCTAAAATTAGATGGGCGCGCGGGCAGAACACCTGCAAAGTGATTCGATGGAAAAAATTAGGTGTGTACGGCTTGTGTGCTGAGATGCTGGCAAAAGTAATGCGTTCGGTGCGACTTGGACGTGTGCGTGCGCGTGTGGATTTGTTGTACGTAATGCCCGGGTTTCTTGACAACGCATCTTTTGAGATGAACGCGTGCGCGGGCATGGTATTATTGAACAGGGACGAGGGGCAACACTGCCTGGGCTGGAACGGTATGAATTCACATGCAAATGAACGATGAGACATAATAGTAAATAATTTGCAATGTCCCAAGGAGGTCCGATAAGTCCAGGCTCGGGAGGTTGGTGGAGCCTAGTCTTCTTTTGAAAATAGAACCCATCTTGTGCAAACTGAGCGTGAGGCACTGATGTGGTGCAGTCTACGAGGTGCAACGTATACACGCAACCTGTGTGAATGAACCCATGTTGTACATTATGTGTCTGGCACATCCTGGCGGGTAAAACTTAGACGGCCTTGTCTACGCAGTGCAGCCAAATCCTGAACATCATGAAGTGGCTAACTCCAGCGATCGGACAAGTTTGCACCCACCAGTCCGCAACCTGCTGGCAAAACCCACTTGGTGCAATGACGCGCGGACCATTGGCATGCAGATCCATGATTCGGGCGGGTGAGTGGTGATGGCAACGACGACGCAAGCGACTGCGACGATGATAAGATAACGGTGGTGAAAATAATGCTGCTGATGATGATGATGATGATGATGGTGATAACGATGGTGATGATGCTGCTGATGATGATGATGGTGATGGGGATGGTGATGATGATGATGGTGATGATGATGATACTGATGATGATGATGATGATGATGATGATGATGCTGATGATGCTGATGGTTATGATGGTGCTGCTGATGGCGCGAGCGACGGCAATGACGATAACGATGGCGACGATGACGGCGACGGTGGTGATAATGACGACGATGCTTGTGGTGATGGTGATGGTGAAGGTGATGATGAGGGTGGCAATGATGACGCTAGCGATGATGCTGACGGCGATGGTACTGGTAAGGATGAGAAAGACACGCGCGTAAACAAAACCTGGCAGCTTTCTCGTTTAAACATATGTGGCTGACCTCCATCTCGAAATGACTTGGGAATCGATTCGCTTGGAATGGTGTCGACATGTGCGCATGGGGGGGCGCCCGCCTGACGACGTCAACCTGCGCGCGCGTAGGCGGCCCGCATGGCTTCATTGAGCGGAACTGGAACAGCACATGGAGCTGCTTGAGCTTAGCAAGTGCGCGTGCGCATAGAAGAAACCCTGCCTGGTCTTCTTGAAAACAAACTATGGCCGCAGAGCCTTGAAAGCACGATCTCGAGGTTGTTTGAAATCGGATGGCGTGCGAATGATTTGGACGTGCCCGCGCGGGACTCGCACGTGTGACCCTACATGGTAGTTTCTGATGCGGGTTCATTTGGGATGGTGCAATTTGATCCAAATGTGTGCTCCGCATCGTATTCTATGGCAGGGGTGAGGGGGGGGGTCGAAAGGGGAACGGGCGAGGATTGCACGATTTGGAACCTCATATGACGATCCGTTAGTCGGGGGAAAAGCTAACACGCTGAAATGAGGTATGAAATCCGTCCCTGGCAATGGGTAAACACACATATCCGCTTTTAGGGAACATACCATACGTAGTGGAATATGTATGATGCCAGGTATGCGGCTCAATAAGCGTGGTGTCACTTATGTTGCGACTTGCACATGGCGCGGTCTAATTGGTGCCACTTATACTGTGCTATATAAGCACGTGGTGCCATATGTGTGGTGCGATATAAAGCGGTGCAATCTGCGTGGTGCAACCTATGTGGCGCAATGAATTCTGTCACGTATGAACTGACAAATCCACTGCTCGCCCTCCCACCCTCAACCTGATCGGCAAAACCAGTGCGGCCACGATAACGGCTGCCGATTGGAACTTGCTAGCGTATCTCTGCGGCCACTCTGGCCCGCTCACGCTCACACGCAGCTCGGCCAACTGGTCCGGCACATCTGGTGCGGCCGCGATAGCGTTTGCCGACGGAAATTCCCCAGCGCGTCCCACGAGCCGCGCTGGCGCGCGGGCGCCTCAGGGCGGGTTGGACCCGGGCGGGCGCGATGTCATGATGACATCGACAACAACGGCGACCATGATTGCAATAGCGATGGTGATGGTGACGATGACGATGACGACGGCGGCGCCAATGACGGCACCGATGCTGGCGACGACGACGATGATGTCAACGTGTCGGTGATGAAGGCGCTTGCGCTGATGATGGCGGCAATGGCGGAGTTTGGTGCTGACGCTGACGGCAGTGATGCGATGGTGCTGATGAGGGTGATGAGATAGTGCACGCGGAGAAATTCAACCGTTCTGGTAACTACTCGATTGACAAACACGTGGTTTTCATTTGTTGCTGACAACTTCGATCTTGAAATAATTTGAAGAAGAATTTCGACACGCGCGCGCTGCAAGGCGCACATGTGACCCGCAAGGTGTTTGATATGGATTTGTCCACTGGGCGCATACCAGATCAACGCGAATGCACCTCATGGTGAGATGTCAATGTGGGTTCTGGACAAGATTGCTAAACGCACATGGATTTCAAGCGAGTTCAGCAAACGCACGCGGGCAGAAAGTTGCAAGTGGGCTTTCTGGAAAGAAAAGATCGGTCTTGAAGATGCTGACATTATTGCAAAACGAATGTGGTCGGTATGGTCTCGACATCTGCGCGCGTGTGGACGTTGTGGTCTCTGTTGCAAGGGATTGCTGACAAGAATATCTTGATATACACAAGTGCGCGCATTGTATCATTTGACTGACGTGACGGGGGTCAATGCCGATTTGGTTGGGATAATCGGATTTCGCATGGACAACGAACGCTAACGCAGAAATGTACAAACTGCAGGGTCCCAAGGGGATCCGGTAAGTCCGGCATCGGGAGGGTGATAGAGGATAGAGTCCATCCCGCTTTTGCGAACGGAACCTAGATAGGGGGAACCCATAAGGTACCGATGCCGCTACTCCCTGGGATGCGTTCTGACCAGGATTTCGAGGCGAATCTGGCGGTAGCGACGAGGGCCTCCCAGGAGGTCCCAAAAAAGGGAAACAAGGCAAGGGTAGCAGCATGTGTACCTCTTTCTCCTCTGATCGTGGCCGTCATCGTCGTGGTCGTGGTCGTGGTCGTCGTCGTCGTTGTCCACGGGGCAGCCGCGAGGCGACCGCGGGCGGCGAACCGCCGGGGGGGGGTCCCCGGGAAGGCCGGGCCCGCGCACGAGGCGGCCGCGAGAGGTCGCCCAAGGGCGCGGCCTGCCAAAAAAGCGCCCGGAGAGCGGCGGGGAGCGCACGGGGCGGCCGCGAGAGGGGGATGCCGACGGCCACAGGCCGAAAACAATATAATCGGCGGCGAGCGACGGGGGGAGGCGAGAAGGAGAATGCCTTCTCGGCAGGCGGCGGGGCTGCTCAGAAGAAACCCTCGCGCCTGCCCAGAGCGCCCGAAGAGCGGCAGGGAGCGCACGGGGCGGCCACGAGGGGGTCACCGACGGCAAGAGGCCGAGAATGGAGGAGGAAAAAGCGGCCCAAGCACAAATGTTTGGAGGTCCGCGCAGAGTTTTTGGATCCGCGCTGGACCCCCCTCCCGGGCGCGCGGAGCGCGCCAGGGGCGGCGCCAGAGGCGCCGCCTGATGGGGCCCAACGCGGATCCAAGAGATCCGCGCGGAGCGCCAACAATGTATGTCTATGGCGACGTTTCTTTTTCGAGGAAATTTTATGGCGAGCATGATGTCATGATAAGATTGGCTCAGGATCCTTTCAGGGATTTCATATCTAGCGGCACAGCCTGTGCAGAACGTTAGGAAGTACTGGCAATCCTGGAAGCCTTGGGGATCCTGGAACGTATCATTATCCTGACCTTTTGCTCCTTTGAAACAAGGAGCCGCCAGCCAAATACTCACAAGAAAATGCAAAACCCACAATAATCCCTCAATGAAAGCACCGTCTGAGGAATACAGCAACGCTGCGGCCAGAGAGGGGCCTGCCGGGTCAGCATCAGCAACTGCATGACAGAACAACGAAAGCATAACAAAGAGCAGTTCAGGAGCAACACGAAAAGGAGCGAAGGCTAAGGAAGGGCAAAGGCATAGCAGCGACAAGCCCACAGCCAATCAAGGCAGACTCACAGCAAATCACGGTCAAAGCTTGCATGAGGCGAAGAACAAGCAATCGCCGCCTACCCGTTCGCCCGACACAGTCTGAGATCCGCAATAGGCCCACCGGAAGCACCCTGGGTTCAGCGAGTATGAAAGACCATCCTATGTGTATGCCGATGCGTTCGGCTCCAGAAGCTCTGGCCCGCCCATGGTCTCCGTCTGTGGGTCGTCGGTCGGCTTCCGCCACGTCTGCGCCGGCGAGACCGCCCTCGCTGCACTTACGCGCGTTTTCGCGGACCCTCCACCAGCTTGCGAACGTTCCCTCATTCGGCGTTGACATTGGGCGGAGAGGGGGTGGGAGGGGGGGGGGGGGTCTGGCTCGATGCGACTGTTTGCAAAAGGGCGTCCATGATGGGACTCCACCTGCTTGAAACAGGCGCCAAAAACAGCTAAAATCTACTCCATGGAGGGGGGGAGGGGGTGCGAGGGTCCGCGACGGTCGGCAAAACCATGATTGAGAAAAATATGTTACTTTCTGTCAGAAAGGGAAAGGGAGACGGCATCCTTTCGCGCTCTCTCGAGGGCCGTGTCTGGAGCGGCAGAAGTGCTTACCAAGGTGTTCCGCATCGCACATTCCCCTCGCCCCAGCTTTACATTCTCCAGGAGGAGGGGCGAGCCACATCGGTATACATAGATATATAAATATACTTACTATATACATTTATACATGTGTGATGATGAGGATGATGATGAGGATGATGATGATGATGATGATGATGATGATGATGATGATGATGATGATGGTGATGGTGATGGTGATGGTGATGGTGATGGTGATGATGATGATGATGATCATGATCATGATGATGATGATGATGGTGATGATGATGATGATGATGATGATGATGATGATGATGATGATGATGGGTTCCCAGAACACGTGCAGCTGCAGTGGTGAGTGGTGCCAGAGAGGAGGAGAGGAGGATGGCATGGTAAAGATAAGATCGCCTGCAATCCCCGCCAGTGGGGAAGGAGCTGGCCCGAGGTAGATCACACTTAAAATCCGCACTCTGCCTCTCCCTCTCGCACTCTCTCTCTCTCTTTCTCTCTTTTCCCGTCCCCTCCTCCTCCCCCTCTCCTCTGGTGGGATGGCAGCACCCTCGTTGACCTGGATCATGGTGCCGCCCACGGTCATCTGCTGGCCAGGGGATATCTCTATGGAGCGGTTCCATCGGATCCGCACCCACCTTGGCTTTGACGCAGGCTGAAACCGAGGTCGTCGTCTTCCTCCGTCATCATCCCCATCCTCCTTTTCTCCTCCTCCTCCTCATCCTCCTTCTCTGCATCATCCTCCTCCTGCTTCTTCCCCCGCCCCGTTCCCGCAGGAGCGAGAGGAGGACCAACCTCGCCCTCGGCACAGCCCGCAAGCACGGTCGCCGGCGGCCAGCCCCAGGCCGGACAAAGCAAACTAACGACGGGCTAAGTGAATGGAAAGTCGCACATGCAACGAATGCGTGAGCAGAAAGCGAAGCGAGGGGCGATGCAGGGCAGACGGGAGACCGACCAGGCAACCTAGGACGACAAAGGGGCAGCGAGACGAGGGCAAAGGGGGCCCAAGCGAAGCGAAGAGGGAGGCGAGGAGCGAGGAACGACAGCCGACAGCCGAGGGAGGGGGACAGACAGACAGACACCAAGGACAACTGGCCGACCGACGGTGAAGTGGAAGCCGAGGGAAGAGCTCCCGCACGCACCGGGAGCGCTTGGAACTCACCCACGCACACACACACACACACAAACACACACACACACACACACACATCCCATGGGGCACACACGCAAGTGGGGTTCCACACACACACACAAACACACACACACGCGCGCTTTTTCCTCCAGCGGCGGGGTGGCTACACCGTCGCGAGTGCGAAACTGGGCCACGCTTAAGCCAATTAGCACCTGGCGCAGCAGATGGGTGGATCGGAAGATTTTTTCGCGGGGCAGACGCAAGTGGAAGAAGCCGAAGCGCGTGCAATGCAATGCCAGAGACGAAAAGGAATGCACAGATTTGAATCTGAAGCCCGACTGTGAGGGTGCGACCCAGGGGTGGCCAGGGGGTGGCGGAAGTGTACTTCCAGCCGGTGACAGCGAGGTGGACGTAGGCGCCGCGAACCCTGTGTGTCCAGAGGTTCGCACCAGCTGTGCGGCAAAGGGTGCCAGAGGAAGTGCGCACGGCGGACGAGGCCCACCCTGCGGCAGCTGCAAGAGGCAAGGCGGCCGGCGCCGAGACACAATCACCCACACACACACACACCACACACATGAGGCTCCGCACTCGTTGCCCGAGTGAACCGCTCTGGAGGCCCACGCGTCGGCGGCACTGCGTGCAATGTTGTATCCACTTCCCCCTCCAGTGCTTACATGTCTGGAAGTTTGCGAGCCTCTCGGCTGTCTCTGAGTTCGTCTCTGGAGGAGGGACTGCTGAAGGAGGGTGGCCGTTTCTCCTCCTCCTCCTCCTCCCCCTGCTCCTCCGTCTGCTCTTCCTCCTCCTCCTCCGCCTCCTCTTCCGTTCCCCCCTCCCCCACGCCACACCAAGCGCCATGAACATCTAACACGAAGAGCATTCGTCTTATCCCCCGAGACCTTCGAGATCGATGCGGCTCGAGAACTCTCACCTGGAGATGGGGTCAAGAGCTCCGTCCTCCACAACCTCCATCTCTGCCTCTTCCCCCCTCCACAACCAGTGGGCACTGCAGCGATGCTGACACGCCGACGGTCTCGCAGCAGCGCAACCTGAAAGGCGTCGCAGTGCGTACCACAGACTGATCAAGACCCCGACGAAGCACGAGATCACAAGATCCCAATGAAGCGCGACCTCAACAAAGCGCGACACGATGTCAAGACCAAGACTAGTTACGCTGTGGTATCCATGTGCGAACTCGCATATGGCGCATCGAATTCTGCTCTGTCCACCCGATCGAAGTCAAAACGGCCCAGGATCACGTCAGCGCAGCACATGGCGCCGATCAGCCCAGAAGAGCTGCATCTCCCAAGCTCGCGCAAAGTCGAGTAGATGCGGCGGACTCTCACTTCTGGAGGCCTTCTGAATGGAACCAGGATAATGGGGATGTATCGGTGACGTCTGGATGCAGACAACCAGTGTCTAGACCGCACCGCATCGCCGATGCGTCGGCGGTGTGGCACGATCCTCCGACCTCACCTGCTCCAGCCTCATATTGACGGCCTTGAACTTCACAAGCACAAGGCGGAACCTCAACCTGCTGTTAGAACCGGCTGAGAGGCTCACGTGCCGTCGGTGCTGTCGAAATCCCGGAGGAAATACTGGTACGTGTCGCTGGAAGCGGCTGTTCTGCCAGGCCGCGAGGGGAAGACTCGCGACCTTCCTTTCGACCTCGTCTGCAACCCGCCTCAGCCCAAGCCAACGATCGTAAATGCAAAATACATCAGATCTGGACCATATTCGGTGCGACACAGATATCGTCAGCCGTGAGGCGCCCCAAAAATATTTCAGAACCCACTACGAGCTTTCCGCCACAATCCTGCCCCCCTCCCCGAGGGGAAGGAACAGGAAAAGGAGGGGGGGGCCTACCAAAACTGCCTGGTCCCAAACGAAGCAGGCTTCTCCTTCCTATCTCCTGTCTTACGCATCCTCATCCTCATCCTCATCCTCATCCTCCTCATCATCATCAGCATCATCATCAGCATCATCATCATCCTCATCATCAGCAGCATCATCATCAGCATCAGCATCATCCACATCATCCTCATCCTCATCCTCATCCTCATCCTCATCCTCCTCATCATCATCAGCATCATCATCAGCATCATCATCATCCTCATCATCAGCAGCATCATCATCAGCATCAGCATCATCATCATCATCATCATCATCATCATCATCATCAGCATCATCATCATCATCAGCATCATCAGCATCATCATCATCATCATCATCAGCATCAGCATCAGCATCATCATCATCAGCATCATCATCATCATGCTTATCCTCCTTCTCCTCCCCCTCCTGATCCTCCTGCTGCTTCCCCTCCTCCTCCTCATCATCATCACCCTCGTCTCCTGCTCCTCCTCCTCCCCTCCTCCTCCTCCCCCTCCTGATAATCATTGTCATTATCATGCCCAAACTTCTCCTCCACCTCCTTTGACACAGCGGAACGAAGTCCGACGGCAAGCACTGCAAGCTACAAGCTTGGATGATCTAGCGCGACCCTCCTGCGGGGCCGTCCGCACGCAGCTCCTCCTCACCCTCTTCCTCGTCCTTCCCCTCTCCGTGAACCGCGAGGTGCTGGGCGCGAGGAAAGCCCAGCACAAAGGTGAGTGCTCCCCTTGCTCTTTTAGTCGGAGGCCTTGAGCTGAACAAGCCACGCCTGTCTTGCCAGGGATCACCGACGCGCATCGTGGATACGGGCTCGCGAGCGCATCTCCGAAACGAGCCAGGCAAACATGTCACGCGCGAACTGCCCAAACAGTCGAATTGCTCCCCATACCTGGCATAGCAGGCCAGGGCCAGGGACCAAACGGAACATTGTCAAAACGACAACGTCAAAGCCCTTGCTAAAGGGGAAAACGCTACTGCTGGAAAATCGGCATGTAATCACATGAGACGCACCAAACGATGTCCACCTGGGCGGCTCCTGGAAAACGACGGATGCAAGGCTTGCTCGCTCACAACGGGGCGAAGTCTTCGTCCGAAGTTCCAAGAGCATGCGGACGGATCCTGGATTTCTGGTGGATTTGATGCGGTGCTTGGTCACCTGTCTTTTCAGGCTGGCGCTCGCGATTCCTGATGCATGTCCACCATGATTGCCAGTGCCTGCAGTACGACTCCCAGCCACACTAAGCGACCGAGAGAGGCAGATCCGCCGCCGCAACAGATGCTTGCATGCACTGCCACCACGCTTCTGGTACCCCCATGGGCCCCCAAGTGGCCCAAGAGGACCTCCTAGACGGCACAGGGAGGCCTCCAAAATGCCCAAGAGGCATCGAAGACGGCCCAAGAGGCCCAAGAGAGGACCAGGACGGCAACAGCCAACAAGGCATCTGGACGTCCGTGTGTTAGGACTTCCAGGCGCGTCGGCACAGGCCGTCTCGGGAGCGCCCAGAGGCTGTCTATGAGTGGCCCAAGATCAGCGCAAGACTGCGAAAGAGTGCATTTACAAGGGCACCAGATGGCCTCCGTACGGCCCAAGATGGGAACAGAGGCCGCCCAGGGACGGCCCAGGAGTGCCCCCGGATTGCACCGAAACGCCCCAGGACGACCGAAAATGGTCCCAAGGTGCCCGCCTGACGTCCCAAGATGCTCCCAAGACTCTCAAAAGGGGTTCCCAAAATCGATCAGCCGAGAGCCACTGCTAAACCGTGTCCTCTCCCTCCCCCCTCTCTTCCCCCCGCATCACCGTTTCCTCATCCTCCACCTCTTCCTCCCCTAAGCTACTGCATCAAACCACTGCGGCGTAGCCGCCCCTGGGGCGTGTTGACACGGAGCTCAACCAAGAGATTGACAACGTACGTTACCCTTGGCGCAACACGTTCGTCACAACGTGGCCAGCACACGCAGCGTGTGAACATAGATGCTTTTAAACACGGCACGTACTGCGTGTCAAAGCGGGCGTATCGGGGCAGTTACGCACTGCGGAAGGGACTTGTCGCAGAGTACGGTCCACTCGGGCATAGGAGAAAAAGGCGTCACACGTGACGGCTCTGCTGGGCTCGGGCGTCACTTTATTTCACTGCTCTGCCTGGCGTTCGGCCGCCGACCTGGCAGGCGCAAGAGGCGGTTCGGGTAGGCGGAGGCCGTGCACCGAGCGGCTCGGCCCATCCCGCGGCGCCGGGTGCGCCTTGGAGCATCCCTTCTCCTGTGGCCACCTTCCTCTACTGAAGAAAGAACAGCACACACACACTCAAACCTGTAGGGAGAAGGAATGGGGAAGGGCAAGGCGATGGAGGCACTATAGGTATGGGTGCAGAGTTGTCGGACCCCGAGGGGGGCTCCCGTTCGAGCGGGGACCCCGATCCGACGACACATACCCATAGCACCTCCCGGAATTCCACCCCGAGAAATCTGGGGGCCGCTTAGATGTGGATGCTGGGTGTCAGCTCATTACCCAGAGGCCTCTCAGATGGGGTCGCAGTAGATGGGGTCGGAGGATCGCGCCGCACCGCCGATGCATCGCCGATGCGCCGACGATGCATCGGCGACGTCGGCGGTGCATCGGCGACGCCTGGGCGCACGGAGAAAACTAGGCTCCACACCGAGCCGCATCGCCGATGCATCGCCGATGCGGCGCGATCCTCCGATCCCATCTACTCTGACCCCATCTGGGAGGCCTAGACGTCCGCATTCGCATTCGCGTATCCAGACAATGCGTACTGTATGTGACCGTGTGCGTCGCCGCAGGCCAAAATAACTACACGCGTCTGGGCACTCAGGAAGACAACCATCTCATCTTACGGCCATCGCGAGGCCGCGGAAGAGCGCATAACATGCTACGGCTCCCAAGAGCCTGCAGTCAAGCTACTACCATAAGGAACGCGAAATCAGGAACAAAGCCTTTCTGACCCTAGAAACCCATTGGTGCACGAGGATAGCTAGAGAAACAACTATGAATCCAAGGAACAGCGTGCCCCTTCCGAACCCAGGCTGTTCCTTATTTCAGCGTCTTGACTGTAGCTCTTCCGGGCGGATCTCGAAGGTCCGCCAAACAGAGCGCTACGCTGGCACAGTGGCGAAACTTGCCGCAGGCACGCGGATATCGAACTATAGATGACAGTTTGGACCAGCGCCAACGGTGTTACAAGCATAGCATATGTGCCTACATCCAAGTACTTCAAAGCCTGGCCTTGAGCAAGCATGATCGACGCACCAAGGACACCTGAGAGCGACATCACGATCCAAGTGCTCGCAGGTAATCCGAACAAGTCTGTGCTATCCTGGGGCACGGCAGGCCACAGGAAAGGCACGCGTAACTTTGGTGGAATGCATCCTGGCGGCAACCACAACAAAGTATTTAGGACGTAGCCCCAGAACATAAACACGATCGGGGGAATTGCAGCATTCGTGCGCTGAACGATTCGCATGGCACCGGTGCCAGCCGCAGCCACGATCACCCAGAGAAATCCTGTCATCAATGTGGCTACAGAACCTTTTCCATCGAAGGGATCTGTGATCAGGAATGCCAAGGCCACATTTCGAAGCAGCCCACATACCTTATATTTACTAATTTGCTCGCCGAGCACCAAAAGACCCATCAACGCGCTGACAACGGGGCCGAAAGACGTATTGAGAACAGTGTACTGCAAGACTGAAACATAGATGAGAGCTTTCACGTAGCCCCAGAGGAAGAACCAATCGGCCAAACCGAAAGTCAAGCACTGTCGAGCTATCAACCTAGATGGAAGCAGTGGGTCTTGACGAAAGATGGCGACCGCGAGCATGGAAAAGGCCGCTGCGAGGCACCTTATGAAATTCTGAGTGTATGTCGGGATATCGCCAGACTGTGAGATGAAGCTGGTCAATACCACCGTCCCAAGATTCAGACTCGCGACCGCAAACATCCACATGTATCCGTAGACATGTTTCTTACCGGTCTCAACTGGCAGGTTAACCAAAGGTTCTCTGAGAGGCTCTTCAGGGTTCTCACCTCCACCTGCCGTCCTCGTCACTGCACTTGCGACCTTGGTAGACATGTGGCGCCCACTTGCTGAATGGCACTGCGCGGCCCCATGCAAAAACGCACCCAGTGAGCCAGTGGCTGCAGAAGAACTTGGCACTAACACCGAGGCAGAGAGAGGACGAGTCGAAAGAAATGGGTGGGGCGCGATGAAAGAAGAGCGCACGCTCAAACCTATAGGGAGGTGGACTGGGGAAGGGCAAGGCGGCTAAGGTGCTGTAGGTAATTAGGGGTGCGAAGCGTCGACCCCGAGGGGGGGGCTCGAGCGGGGATCCCATCCGACATCGCGCACCTGGAGCCCGGGCGGAATTCCACACCAAGACATCTGGGAGTCGCACATGTAAGGGGTGTGTATGAGATGTCGTATCGTTTAAAAGTAAAGCTCTCCCTCGAGGCATCCTCGAAAACATGGATATGCTGGAACAGTCAGGCTATTGAAAACTGGGGGGTGATCGCCCTCCCCCCTCCCTCCTGAGGGCGCCTCGGGCACCCTGTGCTGTCGGAGAAACCAGAATCGCACGTGCAGCGACCGCGACAGGTCTTTCATAACACACACACACACACCCGGAATTGGGAACGAAATTTTCCGCGTGCTTGTTGACGGACTGGGACCCCAACAACACTTGAAAATTTATTCCCCCCGCGGCGGCCATGGACCGCTGATGATCGTGGGGGGGTGAGGGCCCCTGGTGATGAGGATGATGAGGGAAAGGGTGAGGAGGGGAGGAGCGAGCTTGATTTGCAAGCCGAGAGCTTGGGGGGGGCATCATTCAAAACCTCCTGCGGCTTGCTTAGAAGAAGAAAAACCACATAAACATAAAGTGTTGGCGCTCCGCGCGGATTGCTTGGATTCGCGACGGGCCCACCTCCCTGTCGCGCGGAGCGCGCCAGGGGCGGCGCCGCTGGAGCCGTCGGGGGGCCCAGGCGCGGAGCCAAGAAATCCGCGCGGAACGCCAAAAGTTTAATTATGCTTGTGTGTGTGTTTGTTCTCCTTTGATAGCTTGCACGGCTCGACCACGTGAGGAACAATCCTCCAGTTTGGACGCCCGCAATGGGCACGGAAACAATGGGCACAGTGCCCAACAGCAAATGTTGTCCCGATTCAACAGCGGCCGCTGTTGGGCAGGCGGCCTCCTGTCTCGAATGGACGCAGGCCGCGGCGGCGCGGACCGCGAGCCCTGTTCAAAATGGACAAGACCGCTGTTGGGCATTGTACCCTTACCAGCCTGGAACATATCCCTATCCCTATGCTGGGCACCTCCTCATCATGATGCCAATCTTAGGGATTCCCTTATTTTTTGAGGGCGAACCTAAGATGTAGGGATAGGGATGCGTTCGAGGCTGGTAATACCCATTCTTTCCTTGCCCATTTCGTTCGTGCAGGTCCAGGGCCTCGCGGGCAGCCACCGGGAGCGAGCGGCGGGGGCCGCCGGCGGGGCAGGGCCGCGCGGGCACGGCGCGCCAGCGCGTCTCAGGCTCACGCGCGCGGGCATGCTGCGGGTGAGAGACCGCGCCTTCCACGGGCGCCGTGCTACATCCCCGTGCGAAGAGCAGCTGGTGTTTGGTGAGCCCCCCGGCCCCCCCCCATTGCAATGTTGATCGGGCGACGGGCGAATTTCGGAAGCACAACTCGGCACCGCATGGAACGTCGAAACTGGGGGGGTGGGGAAGTGCGTGCGTGTAGAAAGACACCATTTGGTTTTCGCACGGGGTTGTAGGATTAGGTCGGGCGTGTCCCCTCCAGGCGGATTTTGGACGAGAAATAAGAAATACGAGCAACATGTCCCCTAAATATGCAACAATTATCTCAAAAATTGTCCTCAGGCTGTTCATTTACTGTTTTTGAAGATTCCCCCTGTAGAGTGACATGCCCGACTTCAAGGTAGGACGACGACAATGACGCGCCCGTCAGAGGCGGCGTGTCCCGGTTGCCGCAACAGCCCAAGAGAGAAATGTTAGACTGCTCTGGCTTCGAAGCCCATGCTGCGCAACAGCTCCTCTCTCCTGCCAGAGTCCAGAGAAGTTTGTTGGAGGCCTGGACATGGGCACCAACACCAACACAGGGGGTTGCCTCCACCGCGGGGAGGTGATCCTAGATTTCGGTGGTGGTAATATTTCGGCCGCCTTGAAAGCTAGAATATTACCACCATCACCGAGATCGGGATCCTCTTCCCTCGGTGGAGGCACACCGCCGATATTGGTGTTGGTGTCAACCTCTAGGCCTGCGAATTTGGGGTCCCGCGTC